TTTTTTTTTTTTCTTATTTTGTTCAATAATTAGACATAAACTAAGTCACTACACGGAGATCTCCCCGCAAAATTTGACCGAAATCGTCGCTTCATAGCATTCTCAGTTCGGAAGGGAGATGTCGAAGACACTTTTTGACGCTAACTCCTATGTTTTAAGCTTAATTACTTATGGGCGACGATTTGAAACCAAATCTCCATAAGTAATTCCAATTAAACTGTCGCTGCCGGCCTCATTTGCCGGGGCTCGTCAAACACGACGATTCGGACATTTCTCAAAGAAGTTTTCAAGTATTCGGACTGGAACAATGTTACATACCAGGTATCACACATTTTATCTCTGTGGACACATTTATTCAACAGACATTAATTTCAGGGGTTAATTATTCCCGTTTTACACATGTCTTATTCTATGCAGGCATAGCCCTGACTTGTACTTTTCATTATCAAGTTTCTAAAGAAACTTGATAATGAAAACTTGAGAGGCAGTATTTCTCGATCATATAAAGGCTTTTGATATATTGCCTATGATAGCCTCCAATTAACAAAGCCCAAGCGCATTGGTGCTTCTCATCACGTAACGGGGTGGTTAACATCTTATCTCAGCAATCGCCTTCCGTTCACTGCTGTTGGTGATGTACAGCTTATACACTAAGACTAATTTAAATTGGTTTCCTCAGAGAAGCATTCTCGTCCCTTTGTTGTTCTTGACCGGTATCAACGATCTACCCAAATGCCTGGAGCATTGAGAGGTTGCCCACTAGTTCAGCAGCTCCTGCGTTACAGAGATCGAAATTTTCACTAACAGGGACTTATATTTTTTTATTTCTGTTAACTTTAAATATTTTTAACTATTTTCATTTTGCAGGGCCTCTCTGAAGAACATCTTTGGGATGTGAGCTCCTAGTATAAAAAACATTAGCATCATTATTTTTATACTTATACTGAAATATTGTCATTATTATTATTATTATACTGTCGCTTAACATGCGTAAGTCTCATATGAAAATGTGTAAAAATAAAATTAATAAATATACGCCCTCACCCGAAACTACTGTAACACACGTGATAGAGATACCCACCTTCCCCCCGAAAAAAGATTCCTTATTAATAATTTCTTCTCTTTTTCTCACTTTTGTTTTAATATTCCTCCTTTCTCTTCACATCGATCTTTTTACATGTCTACTATGTTGATTTTGGTCTGATTTGTGAGATCATGCTCGGACAAGTGTGTGCATAAGGAATATATCACCCGCCAGTTATAACGATTTTTTCCTAGATCTGTGGATACATCTCTTATATACACATTTCTTTTATTTTATGTTCACTTTCCATTTGACATAGCATTTATAGAACTCCATTCATAAGATTAATCAACAAAGACTTGTAATGTTATATCTTGTTAAAGGTGTTAAGGCGTTGAGTCTTCACCTGAATGTGCGAGTGGATATGTGATAAGTAAGGCTACATCACACTATCAGCGTAATCCAGGTCTTCCAAGTAGGAGAAGGGTGTCCATCTGATGCCCCTAAACTGATCTTCAGTGGTGCGCCGCATGATCCAGTTTACAATAAGATTGAAAAGCAATGTATACATAACACACCCATGTCTGACATCAGTGTCGACTTCAAATAAGAAGTCACCATCACCAACACAGCAGATAAAGTTGTCATAAAAGCTTTTGATGATCTCAACAAGGTAGGGGATTCCATTCGCTCGAAGTATCTACCAGAGTCTGCGCCAGTGCACGCTTTCGAAAGACCTGGCAAAATCTAATATTTTTACATAGGGAGTTCCATTCGCGGTACTCTGTTTAATAATATTTTTCGGCGTGAAAATATTATTGAGTAAGTGGTAATAGGCGCTTCATGATGACTTTCGCTAAGATTTTACTACGAGTGGATAATAAAAGAAATAAACAGAAAGAAGGAAAAAAAGGGAAAAAAAGCAAGTGACAAATATAAAAACCGTTAAAACCGTAAAAACAGTGCACCAATAACATAATTTCTCAGCGAAAAAAAGGTAAAAAGAAAGAAAAAAATGATGATATTAAAAGAGAAAATAGAAAAGACAGCAAAAGGAAATTGTAGATTTCGCAGGGAGGAGTAACTCGGCCCCCAAACCAGTTCGAGAGTTACTCCTTGTCCGCCAGCTCCAAATCATACTCGGGGAGAAG